TCCTTTGTCTTCATGCTTGTTTTGTGCTTTGATTGAATTTCAACTGAAACATAAAAAAATGTGGAAAAAGTGAAGCGTTATGAATACTTTCCGGATGCACCGTAGTATAGAAGCTAGTTTCAGTGGAATTATTGCATGGATGTGACAGTAAATATCGTTCAAATATGCATTGATGCAAAGAACTTGGCGATTTGTGATGACGTAGGAATGCTATTGCACCATAAATGATGCACTGTTCCTTTAAGATGAGTGGAGGTCACCAGGCTATTGGAGGTCACCATGAGTGGAGGTCACCATGAGATGACTATTTGATTCTTTCTTTTGGACCGGATTATGATCACATGTCCACAAACACCATCAAATCCATGGATGTTGACTCTCTCATGTGTCGTTCGGATGAGGTGCCGTAGGTTCAAAGCTTCTCAGCCAGTTTACTTCCTGCTAAATAAACGTAGAGCAAGAGAAACGGCAACTTGAGCACTGCCACCCACTGCCGCTAGTATTGATACAATAATCCTCTCATTGTGTGTGTGAGGGTCCGTCCAGGCCACCCTGAAGACTTTCTGCTTCTCTGGGTTGAGAGATACTCATGTGCGGCAGGTTTTCTTCTCACAACCAGAGCCTTTAAGTCCATAAGAATCCTCACATTCTCTCTTAGCGTAAATATTGTCTTCTGGAGTCATGTTGTTTTAACCCACTTCACATGATGTTAAGCTGTTTCGGCGTGGATATTCAAACTCATGGTTTTAGTTAAGGCAGCCGTAGACGTACAGTTATGTGACACTGTTTTCGTTTGCATTCTTTCCACCAGCACTAATTTGCTGAGTTTTTCATCATTGTTTTGTAGTGCACAACAGCTAGAGTCACAGGGCTTTGACACTTGGCTTCATCTGAGCTGAATTGTTCTAAAGTGCTTTTAGAGGAGATTATATTCAAGGTCAGCCCATCACATTAATTACCCATTTATCTTTAGTGACAATTTTTGTGACCATTTTTTACCTCCTTTTCCCCCAGTTTATCTTATTTCCCATTTTTTATGCTACCCTCTCGACTGAGCTGTCTTCCTCTAAAATGTATGGTCGGAGGGGTTAAAATTTTTCTGCATGTAACAGTGTTGTGACAAATAAAGGTTCATCATTATCAAAGGATTCTCTTTTTTCAATGCAAATATCAATGCTGATATCGAGACACTAATACATTACATTTACACATCTCCGTTAAATAACAGGAACCGTGTTTCATGATTTACAAGATTTTTCCTGTTTATTTAATGATGTGAATTGTTTTATTAGATGTTGATCTCTGCTCTGTCGAATTTTGATGATAACAATTCTTTATCAAAGGGAATATTACTATAGTACTAAAGCTGAAGTTTAGTGGTTTAAAATAATATATTGCATAGTACATAATATATAGAGAATTAAGTTTGTACAATTACTGAAAAATACTGCAGTTTATTAGATTTTGTATCGTAATTTAAAGCACCAAACCAGACAATATATCACATCAAACTATTAAAAATGTCAACAAAAGTCGCTTTTATCAAACTTTATAACATCAAAAGTGGTTGGAGGAAAGATAAAAGCATAATGTAAATAATAGCAATAAGAATAAAAAATGAATAAAAAAATATTGAAAATGTTTCATTTACGAATACTTTTTTACAGTGTATTTAGAAATGAGCTGTGTGTGCTTGAACATTTTCAGTTTTTCTGGATATATGGGTTATACCAATGTCATCTCACGGCAATTCGTAACTATTTGATTTAGTGGCTAATTCGGGGCAATTTGTATGATCTCATTTGTACAATTAAGTTTGATTTGCTTATTGCCCAATGAGGCATGTGTTTAGGGGCAGTGTTGGGTCCACGCCTCCTTTTTAAAATCGGACATTTTCGTGACTAAACTTGTACAAATTCGCACAAATTAGCCACTAAACTGACAAAATGTCAAATAGTTACGTTTCCACGTGAAATCAGGCTGTTTATACTTAGATATTTATTTAAAACATTTGTTTTTGTTTTATTCTTTAAACTACTGATGACATTTGTTAGAAATTCAAAAAAGATTTCAGACATGTGAATATAAATTTTTTAACAACACAAAACCAACGTTTTAGAACAAGTTAAAAATCAATATTTGGTTAAATAACTCATTAAGAAAAAAAAATGGCCGCACAATACTGCAGTTGACCTGTTTTTTTTTTTTTTATTAAATTTATTGATTAAATTACTTCAAATAAACTCATGCAATAAACTTATTAAAAAATTTAATAATAATGATAAAAAAATTCTGATTTTCAGAAGTGTCCCATATTTGTTTAGTCCATATGTTATCATTTGACATAAGAGGCTTGGCAACATCCAAAAAGAAGATTTTTAGTAATAATTAAATCAAATTAAACCTTTTAGCAAACTAAATGCAAAATTTGCAAATGCAGAAATATTTGCAAATGCAAATTGTGCTAATGTAAAAATTTAAATGTTAAAATGAGTAGTTAAAGTTTTTTTTAATCAATATGTATGTTTACATATTAATCACATAATAATCAATGTTTTAAATATTAGTATAAGATTTTATTTCTTATATTAATTTTACATTTTAAAGAGTTTCCAACCAGACACTGAGAACACAAGCATGAATTACACAGAACACTTTACACAACTCCTAAATAAAAAAATAAGTGAAAGTAATTTTAGTAAACTTCCTGAACTTGCGATAACTCCCAATTTAGTTATTACGTTATATAAATAAGCTATTTAGTGATTTGTTAGACTATTTTCACTATCAATATTTCAATGTCCAAACACAAACAATTTTAAGGCTAATTGTAATATTTAAATGTTGACATTAAACTAAAACTGTAATTTCTTATCACATTCAACATAAACACAGTGTCTAAATTCAAGCTGCAGAGTGAAATTTAAAGCATCAAATATGATCTGAGCAATCTGAACACATGCAGCGGTAGTCTGTTTACTATCACCAGAACCCAAATGGACCACACAGAAAGCAGATATACTGTAAGATCAGGGAATACACACTCATTCAGCAGCTGCTCACACACTTACTGATGAGCACACTAGAGCGAAAGTGAGGTGACTGGATATAGTGCTTTTGAATACACAGGTGTTTTCTTTCCCTTTCATAACTGATCTCTCATTCACTCTTGGGTGGTCAGGGCCAGATTTAGTTGTATGACTGTCAGCATGTTGGCGACACTCTTGTGTGTGTGTGTCTTTTATCTGTTATCTGCCATTAATAGAGGATTGTGTGTAGATTAAAGAGGGAGATGGTGAAAGATGACTTAAACAAGGAGTTTCATGTCATGTCACTCTCTCTTATACACTCTCTCTCTCAATTATATTCAATTAAATTCAGACTCGCTTAATTGGCATGAAAAAAAATGTTACACATGTATTGCCAAAGCATTTGTGATGTTTACATTAAATTGAACATCTAATAATGAATGACTTATTAGTAGTGATATAAAAAAATGAACAGTATATTTAACACTTAACATTTTTCACTAAAACAATCTAAATAAATAATATTAAACAGTAATAGTCAACATTTTAGGATTCAAATATAACAATTTAAAACTCTGTGTGTGTGTGTGTGTGTGTGTGTGTGTGTGTGTGTGTGTGTGTGTGTGTGTGTGTGTGTGTGTGTGTGTGTGTGTGTGTGTGTGTGTGTGTGTGTGTGTGTGT